ATTGTGTTTGTATTGTAATTACTTATTGAGAAAAAAAATCATGTGATTCAAACACTCGTTCATGTTACATTAAAGGATTTGTTGAATATGCTAGCACAATCAAGGGGAGAAGGCATGATTTGGATAAGTCCATATTCATTCTCAAGTGTTACTGATATTACATACAGTAGACTGTATAGATGGTAGGAGAATGGGGATATGCATAAAAATGATAATATTGAAAAGAACACAATCAGAAAACTATGCGAATGCGACAAAGAGCATGCTGCTTTTAACAATGAACGAACACATTTAGCATACACAGTAGGCAACTATATTACTACTCATTGGGTTGCTTAAAGTTCTGTCTAAAAAAAAGTGCAAAACTGACTGAAACCCATTTCAGTATTTAATCAAAGTTGCATCCGAACTATCTTCATGTTGTTAATTCAGAAAAAAGTATGTTTTTTAAAATTAGACTAACAAGATATATTTTGCTGCTCCATACTTGTTATACATTTGGCTTTTTACTAAAGTTCACTATTCCAATTATAATTATATATTTGAGAAAATTGTACTAGACAAATATACTTTCACAGAAAATATTCCGCAAAGTATTCAAAGTAGAAAATCTTCGCTTCTAAATCATTTCGGAATCAAATAAGGAATTCTTATCTTTGGTTAAGCCAGTAGGAACCAATAAAAATTGACATAAAATGATCCATACATTATTATTGGAATTTCTTTTTCCTATTGGCACAAAATATCGTCATTCAACGTATTATATTTCTTGCATGCATTGTACATCACGTCATTCGTATATTACGCTGTTTATTTCAAATTGAAACTGACGTTTTATCATGAAAGAAATTCGAAGAATGTTGAATTATACAATATTGATATAATTGGAAACCATCAATATTTATCAGATTCCGAACGACTATCCTGATGTTGGTCTATGTGATTGATGAGGTCAGATTAGTCGAATGCAAATGTTTTTTTTATTCTCCTTTCTGGAAATTTCATTTCATATTAAAATCTTATTTTGAAATTGTCATAAGATTCATTCTCGGTAATCTTATGAATCATTAAATTTCGCAATTCCAACGATCAGCGGTCCCTCTTCATCTCATGATAATACCGTTGAAAACAAAAGCATAAATGGAAACAAAACCAGTACATTCATGAAAAAAGAAAACAAAAATACTGCCAATGATCACATTAATGAACGAAATCCATGAAATTCTAATATGTAAGATTATGCCAAGAAGTATTACACGTAATCAAGCTCAAAATTTACAATCCAAAACGAAAATCAAAACTGTTCATGGTACTATCACAACTTTTAGACAACATTGATTCACTGAACATCATTTTGAATTGTTTATCCTTACCTTCATCTTACGTCCAAAAAACAATTCAGGTAGTCTTGACAGAAAAATTCATCTTAGTTATCTGGCGTACTTAGTCATATTTCCAGATGGCCGATCTTTTGGCGATTTACATAAACATGGCACAAGAAAAATTTTTGCTAAAGCTATTCCAAGTATAATTTTTTTTAGAAAGGATCATTAACTAATGTTACTAATACATCTATGCTGTTGAATATTAGAAATACCGCACATCATAAAGATGAAGTGTATGTTTTAGAGTTCTACATGACTTCTCAAAATCAATCATATATATTAAGCAAATTTAATATTCATAAACTGACTCATTTTCGTTTTCAATAATATGAAAATTAAAGAAAAAAATATGTTGTATTACTTGTAAAACACTTTAGGAATTTCTAAATATATGTTGATAACAAAACAAATCGAAATGAAAAACTAAATATTCCCCATATCGAAATATTTATGAATGCTTTTTTGTAAAGATACAAAATTGAAAGAAAGTTAAAGTCTAATAGATTCGGCTCTTTATTTTTTCGAAACAATAAACATTGATTCAGTGTAATCAATTAAAGATATAGTTGAAGTCTGATTTTTTAAGTCTTTTTTCTTTTATAATTGATATGTTTTTTCAATCAGAACATCTGACCAAATTCAATGGCCTGTAGTATTCCAAATCAGTGAATGAATACCAATTCACTAGTATACATTATATGAAAATGAGTCAAAACATGTGATATACGAATCTTCAGTTCAACTTCCATCTTTTAATATGTTATAACTTATGTCATTTGTATATTTTATTGTGATTTTATCATTCTATTCATATATCTAGCACATTAATATTTTACACTTATTTATTACTGGTGAAAGACCGAATAATACTTCATTTTTCACAACATTGAAAAGACAAATATTATCTTGATTTTTTTACAGCTATTTTATATTAATTTAATCTTAAAACTATAGGTTGAATCCACTAATCAAATATAACAGAATTTCGCTACCCTCTACCTCCGTTGTTTTCTGTTCTATCCTTTTGATAATGAATCAGTACAGTGAAAGTGTCTAGATGTCATGTTTGTTCAGTTTTGAGGGTTTTGGAATATCATTGATAGAAATTCTCCTACACTACTGAAAACTATGTCTTGCTTTATTGCATCAATTTTCTCATCAGTAATTACGTTTTCTCACGGATTTGTAGTATCGGCAATGACAATTTCTAAGGTTCATAAATGATACGAAACTCTAGGCGGTTTTTCGTTTACTATTCATCACTTCTTATCAGTACAATCAGATCTACAATGACAGAAGTCAAGAGAGAAATATAGAAAAAATGAAATCATTAGAAAACAACGAAAAGACAAGAGTCCTCCCGCGTAAGCCACAACAGACTCACACAGAAACTGCTCAATCAATGGTCGTTAATTGGGCTAGTTTTTATATATGCCATTAGGGCAATTGTTTGATGAATTTATATGCAAGTCGTTTGAAAAAATATTGTTGTTGTTTCGAGATATTTAAAATTTAAAATTATCATTCTTAAGCAAACGATCAAAGTTTTTTTCATATAGTTTTTCTTATTATTAATTTTCTTATTTGTAATTATTGTTGCCATTATGATGTTATATGTCATGATAAAAACATGCATGAAATAGCTCAAGATAAATCTGTTATGAGCTTTTTAATAGCTGTTCAGTTAATAATACGTCGTAATAAAGAATTTAGCTGGAACTTTCATTATTGGATATGTGTATTTCAAACTAAGCAGTTCTAATTCTGGATCATCATCAAATATAAATAAGCATTGTTGATTAAAATAAGAAATTAGTTCAAAGAATAAGCGATTAATGAAAGATATCACTGATAATGAAGACGACGAAAATCAAGATGATTATTTAAAATTAAGTTGTGATAAAATTTTTACTGTTCGTTTTAAGGAAAAATGAAGTAACTAATATATGGATGATGGAAGGAGTAGTATTTTATTTTATCATCAAACAAATTTTAAAAAGTACAGTTCATTTCCTTTTTTTTCTTAATCTTATTGACTTTCCTTCTTTGTTCAAAATAACCAAATACTCATGTACCTGATACAAACTAAGTTATTAAAAAATATAAATATTATCAATACAATACAGACAATAGTTTTCTTCTTTTTAGAGTCAACTGATTATACAAAATCTCATCGTCTTAATCAACAAAAGATCGAGTAAATCAACGGAATCATTGAGTTTTACAATAACAATACAAAATAAATTTGAAGAACACGATAATATGGTACGAGAAAGTAGTATTGCTGAAAAATATTGTAAACAAATAATTGATAAAATTAAACAAGAAACAAAAATGATCGAAGAACAAAATAATAGTATTCATATATCATCATCATCATCATCACCTAAATTTGCAGCTATTACTTCAAAGCAAGATCAATACGGCAATAGTATACTTATTCACATTATTTTATTATTAATTTTTACAGATATTAATAGAAAAAAGTTCAGGCAAATTAAACATAGCAATCCTCAGTGCAATCATTCCGATCATCGAAGACGACGTCTTAAACGGTAAGAAATGATCAATACAACGGCGTATTATAGCATTAAATTTCACAATATTTTGTCTTAATCTGTCATGTCGTTTTATGGTTGGTTTTTTTTTGTTAGAAAGTGGTTATTAGCTTTCCCACTCTTCTTACTGTCTTCTGGGTGACGTGTTACGGCGATGTAAGGACACTGATCTTTACTGGTTTTTAGATCGTTTTCGGCGCCATCTTCTTGGATATGGATCATTCCGGTTTTTATTTTGATAAATTTTTTGAATATTTAATTCCGCAATTTTCAAATTAATAGATTTTACTTCCAATTTTTTTTACTATTTAGTCTCTGCTATGCTGTCTATGTGATGTCATAGTGAAACCCTATTCGAATTGATAATTGTTTTATAAAATTTATTGTTTTATTGAAACTTAACACAAGAATGTTTTATATAGATATTTATTGGCTGCGAAGTGACTGAAATAAATTTTATTAATTGCAAATATTAGTTTTGATATTGTTCATCTCAAACTCAGAATTTTATGTCAGTATGTCCTGTAAGTGATCCATTACATTTTATAAAAGATAATAGTACATAATAATGTGGCATACTGTCATTGAATGACTCTTATTTGTGACTAGATACATGTTACAGAAAAATCAGCTATTGAAACCTCAAATATCTCATTTCCAAATCATAGTTGTGCTTATTTGAGCTATCTCTACATATTTATGACATATTTTAAATCATTTATTAATCTGCTAAATGCACGCCATTTTCTTTTTAATCAAAATAACAACGTATTTTACATAATAATAAAGCTCAAGTTCTTGATCGAGTTAATATTAAGCACACCTTATCAAAAAAAAATAGTTTCGCAAAAAATGAAAAATTCGTTTTACTCATGTAACCTTAGTATAGGTTTAAAAATGAGTAGTACAAAAAAAAAGAAGTTTGATTGTTAAGTTTGATCACACAGCAATGAACATAATGTTAAAATAGTCAATGATACATACGATACAAAAAAAGCTTAATTCGTACTTATGCAATATGATTGAAACGAGAAAAAACTCTTATGTCATTCTTAAAATTTCCAGATAAATACTATTCCAAAGTTTAAGCATTATTATCTTCGTCTTCAAATGAAGGAAAATAAGATGAATCCCTATTGCTGGTCACTGATTTCTGTATTTGATTCTAAATACCAATAAAATCATTAGGTTTTCGTTTTATTATATCGATTTAAGAGCAGATGATCCCAGTAACAACGGTAAAATAGTGACCTATATTGTTTGACTCAATGTACAACTATTCTACATTTAATTAAATATATTTTTATAGGTAGATAATCTTTGACGTGTACTCTTCCACATTATTTGATAACGAACTTTCTTTAGAGAAGAACAGCCGAAAAATCAGTGCTCTCTAATAGCTAGCGCACTTTGTCATTATTTTTGAGACAATAAGTTGGTTGGCCGACGTTATTAGAGGCACGACCTCTGATAATAAAGTAGCGAGGTATCTATCACAGACCATTGACTTCTCGACTGTTGCTCATTGGAGAAAGCCCATGGTCATATGATTCGAAAAAGTACAGTTCAAAGATTATCCATATATGTATATTTAAATATTTTCAAAAGAATATAGAATCATTGTGCACTAAGTCAACCAACATAGGTCATTATTTTTCCCTCCTAATTATGATCATCTGCTTCATAATCGATTCCAAATGTCTTCCGTAGCCGCATGTATTTTATTTATGTTTACACTTACTTTTAATAAATCTGGTGAACTAGAATAACAAAAGAAAAGAGAGAAATATATATTTGTAAGACTAAACTAACCGGACAAGAGAGTAATTGAGTGGTACAGATGTATGTGATCTTGGTTTATATGAAGTTATGGTAGTCAACGATCCATTATCATCCGGTGAATTAAATAAATGTGGCATCATCGTCGATGTACTTCTATCATTTTGTTTATTGTATGTTGAACGGAATAATATTTTTAAAGCTTCGTCTTTTTCTAGATGCTCAAGATGTACAAAATCTGTTGGTCCAGATATCAAAGGACTCGAAGATTTTTCTGATATATTTAGAGTTTGTTTTAGCTGATTTTGTTGTATTATATAAATTAATATTGGATGATTTTCAACAAGTTCTGGATCATGAGAAAGAGAAATAGTTCCATCTGATGTTAATGGATATGTATTTGATAACGGGAATGATTGTAACCATATTCCTAATGATACATCATAAATATCAATAGATATTTTTGTATAGACAAGTAAATGCGGATCGGAAAAGGATGTCGAGATTGGTGATGCTGTCCACATTAATTCTTTATGACGTGTTCGCATTCCTGTTAAATAATTTATATAAATACCTAGTTTACTATAGACAAGTAAAAGTTCATTCATTGATGATGAATCTAAACAATAGAATTAATTTGATTCTTTTATTTAAAGCAATATTCAATAACTGACTTGTCACAGGTATAACACGTAATATGTCAATAGGTAGTTTACGAAGAACTTGTAATGTTGAATCATTATCGCTTAATAAAACAGAGCTGGGACATTTTTGATCAATTTGTTGTGCCATAAATGTTGATGAATAACCATACCAGAGTATTTTTTCTTCACTGTTATTTATTTTTAATACTGATATTTCTAAATATGTTACAGTTTCAGGTGTATTTAACTGGTATATAAGTGTATATGGATATGGTCTAGGATTCGAATGTATTTCATAAAGTAGAAGACGATTTTTGACTGCAACACATAATGTTAAGGATGTTGAATTCACTGCAAATGATGTTGCATTTCTTGTTTCAAATATTTCCCCATTCCATGATGAGTGCGAATGAGTAAAAAAACATTCAAGAGGTTTTATTCGAATTGTACGCTCTTTTCCCGATAGCATTACTAATAACTTATTATCTAATATTAAAGATAATTGATAAATTTTTTTATCATATAATCTTGTTGGTTCTAAAAAGAAATAAATAAGCAAAGA